ACAACCGCTCGCCCTTTTCGCCACCAAGTAACGGCAAACGTCACCACAGCGCTACTACCAGGCAAGGTGAATAACCCACAAAAACATCTCCCGTATTGCCTTTAACAGACCGTTGGGGCAAGTTCTGTTAGTGAGCACCCTACGAAGGCCTGACGTGGCACGCGAGGGAGGGTGGGTGGCCAGCACCACGCGCGACCACCTTTGTCTCCCTGGTGGCAATGTACACACACACACGCACAACGTCTTTCGTTGTAGCCAACTCAAAATGTTTATCCCCCCCCCCCAACTCCTGAGTTGGTTCCCATTTTTTAATGCCACTCAAAACAAAATGGCGGCCGCCACTATGTCGGAAGGGAGGATTGGATCTATAAGACTAGGCTAGGCCTAACTCCTCAAAATAAAACAAGCATTCGCGAACAACACACGCAGAATAATCTCTCTATAGCTCTCTCTCTCGGTCTTCATTGCATCTGTAATTATTTATGTTCTACTGCAGTCGGGGCGATGAGACAGACCCTGGGGAAGTCCGGGAGGACCCGGCCTCATCTTGGTGTTGGGCAGTTTGTGGTCTTTCTTCCACTTCATCCTCCGGTTCTGGAACCAGATGTTGACCTGGCGCTCGCTCAGGGCCAGCGAGTGAGCGATCTCCAGGCGGCGCCGCCGCCGCGTGAGGTAGCGGTTGAAGTGGAACTCCTTCTCGAGCTCCAGCACCTGCTCGTGTCCCTGGCTCTCGGAGTCGACTGCGGATGGATAGCGGTTCGGTGGTGGTCGAGAGTGATTGAGGGTGGTAGATGGTTAATTTGGTGTGCAGCGAGGGAGGTAGTTGTGGATTTGGGTGGTGGTTGAGGGTGGTAGATGGTTGGTTTGTGGGCAGTAAAAGTGTGGTGGTGATGAGTGGTGGTTGAGGGTGGTAGATGGTTGGTTTGGTGGGCAGTGACAGTGTGGTGGTGATGAGTGGTGGTTGAGGGTGGTAGATGTTGGTTTGGTGGGCAGTGAAAGTGTGGTGGTGATGAATGGTGGTTGAGGGTGGTAGATGGTTGGTTTGGTGGGCAGTGACAGTGTGGTGGTGATGGGTGGTGGTTGAGGGGGTAGATGGTTGGTTTGGTGGGCAGTGAAAGTGTGGTGGTGATGAGTGGTGGTTGAGGGTGGTAGATGGTTGGTTTGGTGGGCAGTGACAGTGTGGTGGTGATGAGTGGTGGTTGAGGGTGGTAGATGGTGGTTTGGTGGGCAGTGAAAGTGTGGTGGTGATGAGTGGTGGTTGAGGGTGGTAGATGGTTGGTTTGGTGGGCAGTGACAGTGTGGTGGTGATGAGTGGTGGCTGAGGGTGGTAGATGGTTGGTTAGGTGGGCAGTGAAAGTGTGGTGGTGATGAGTGGTGGTTGAGGGTGGTAGATGGTTGGTTAGGTGGGCAGTGACAGTGTGGTGGTGATGAGTGGTGGTTGAGGGTGGTAGATGGTTGGTTTGGTGGGCAGTGACAGTGTGGTGGTGATGAGTGGTGGTTGAGGATGGTAGATGGTTGGTTTGGTGGGCAGTGACAGTGTGGTGGTGATGAGTGGTGGTTGAGGGTGGTAGATGGTTGGTTTGGTGGGCAGTGACAGTGTGGTGGTGATGAGTGGTGGTTGAGGGTGGTAGATGGTTGGTTTGGTGGGCAGTGAAAGTGTGGTGGTGGTGGTGAGTGGTGGTTGAGGGTGGATAGTGAAGGAGGTAGTTAAGGTGGTTGTTGGTGGTGGTCGTGGTGAGGGAGGTTTAGTTAAAGTTGATTGTCGTGTTTGGTAGATGGTGGTGATTAGTCGTGGTGGTTGATTGGTGGTTGATGGTGGTTGTTGGTAGTTTGTGGAGTTTGGTTTGTGGTGGTGGTGGAGGTGGGGTTTGATGGAGGTATTTGAGGTGGGGGAGGGAAGCAGAATGGAGGTCATTAAACCCGCACGTGACCTCCACGTGTGCTAGTGGCCACGTGCACACACAGTGCATGTGCATGTATCACACATACAGTATATGGGTATACATGACCTATGTGTACGCATATAAACAAGCATACATACACTTAAACGCATAGGCTTGGCACAAAGGCATGCACAACAAAGACAAAGATCCCCCTGTATCGCGTTCAACAGACTGTCGGGGCAAGTGCTGCTAGCGAGCAGCACTATTGGAGGCAGACACGGCACACGAGGGTGGGTGGGTGGCCAGCACCACGTCCGCCCGGCCGCCTTTGTCTCCCACGTGGCGATCCTTATACACACACCAGGTACTCATTTGAGGCTGAGTCGACCTAGGGAGGCCATACACACATACCTGCACATGTACATAGCACATACACACCGGCCATATATACATATATATCTACATGCATGCGCATGCATTACATGCGCATGCATGTCTGAGCACACGCATATAATGCGAAGACCATACGTAGTTTACAAGTAGGTAGTTTACAAGTACTTGTAGTGTATCCATACGTTCACGTACATATACTCATCGGTGCACTTGAACACATACCTACTGCACAACAACAAGAGCCGCCATTCGTCACTAACTGGCGATGACGTCACCACGGCGCCTGTACCAGGCTGGGTGCACCTACTGCATATACACATACACAACAACAACAACAACCGCCATTCGCCACTAAGTGGCGGTGACGTCACCACGACGCTTGTGCCAGGCCATGTGCACCTTGAGGCCACGTGAATTGTCGAACGCCCGCTGGCAGGAGGTCACGGGGCAGACCCAGGTGCCACGGGTCGACTGACCGGATGAGATGACCGAGATGACTGGCTGATGCACCACCTGTGCCCCCTACTGTACCAACTTGCTGTGCTTTAGCCACCCGGCGCTCGCTCGTTGTTGTGAGCGTCGCTCCTCCGCCCTCCGTTGTTGGAGGGCGACTGCCTCCAACTGCCCAGTAGCGTCCTTCACGAGCCTCCTCCACAGAGGCCGATCTTGACACCGCTGGTACCGGTCATCGGCAAGTCCACTCAGCTCCACGTCCTCCTGTACCACATCACTCCATCTCTTCTCTAGCCCGTGCCGCGCCCGTTTAGCCCCTCGATCCGGCCGAACAAAAGCTGTTTAGGCATGCGGTGGCTGGGCATGCGGGCTACATGACCCAGCCAACGCAGCCTTGCCTGCCGGAGGAGCTCACTGATGGGACTTTGCCCAGATCTTTCAAGGACTTGTGAGATCCTCACACAATCCAGCCTGGTTAAACCCAGGATGGATCGTAGGCAGGCCAGCCTAAATGTTTCCAACCGGCGCAAATGCTCCACTAGGGGGGTCCACGTTTCGCAAGCGTAGAGAAGGGAGGGAATGACACGCATACATACACACACATTTCTCCGCGCGTATAACCTTATTTAGGTTCACACGATACATTGGCTCACAAAATGCACACAGCCGTGCATATTTATGCCAGACGAATCACATTAGCGTACGCGCAGAGCCCATACCGTAGGTCACACGTAAACGCGCATACGTAGGTCTTGACGCATATATTTAGGGTACTATTATAAACAAATCCATGATGAATATCTGTTTTTTAAAATATATATAACCAATTGTACACGCTTGAATAAAAAAAGAAAATGTATGATCGGCGACGTGTCGGGCAATGATCCTTCTGCAGGTATTGGCAGTGGTGCGAGCGCATCACCCTCAAAGCAGCTGCAATAAATAATACACTTAACATGCAAATGCATAAATTAAGTAATTACTGTATAGTGCATGCGTGTACGGATACGTGCATCGCACACAACTGTGTAGACGCGTGTTATAGACATGTAAACTAATGTTGACGTAAACACAGAATAAAATTAATATATACACACACACAGCGAACACAAAGACAAAGATCCCCCGTGTAGCCTTAACAGACTGTTGGGGCGAGTGCTGTTAGCGAGTAGCACCTGTGAAGGCCGGCATGGCACACGAAGGGGCGGGTGGCCAGCCCCACTCCCGGCCGCCTTTGAATCCCCAGTGGCGACGACGACCCACCGCACCAGGTACTCAGCTCCTCAAGCACCCTCACCTCCCCACCCTCACCTCCCCACCCTCACCTCCCAAACCAGCCCCTCACCTCCCCACCCAGCCCCTCCCACCCTCACCTCCCCACCCAGCCCCATCCCTCCCATTTCTGGATGCACGACGGACGGACGGACACAATAATCCCCTGTGGCTGGTGGAACCAGGAGGTTCCTACCAGTGATAGGTGACGATGCTTATGATGCTGACGATGCATTGCAGATGCAGGGGTTGGGTGCTCGGTATTGTTGAATCGACTGTGGCATTCCATTCACACGAATGTAAAGATTTGAACACGGGAATTGCCAGGAGACTAACATTGTTTCCCGAGGAATCGCCTGGCTCGGACGATAATGCAGAACTTGGTAAGGAGATGCTGCTCACAAAATGATCTGCGCCCCACGCAGACGCTCACTTGCAGGTGTGTTCACTGAGCTGGAGCTTGCGGTCCCGAGCGGGGCCTGCACCAACAGAGCACGGAGCAGGCGGTCGGCAAAAAGACGTGAGCTCAGACGCTCGAAAATAATCTCTCGCACGGGGGGGGGGGGGTCACGGTTCACAAATAATCATCATCATCACCATCGTCGTCGTTGTCTTCACAGCTGCTGTCAGCCGCTTTCACACTGACTGCACTCAATTAAAATGAAATGAAACTCGAAAACCAGCCATGCTTTATCCACTGCTAGATGACGGCTTCCCCCCCCAGCGGTGTGCTCCGTGACATATTCGGGACGCTGCCGCGGTTCTAATAGTCGGCACACGCCGAGCTAGCGGCCCAGACACCGTCGCTTCCATCTCCCCTGGCGCAACTGTTGAAGCGACGGTCAAAGTTGCTGAGATCCCCCGACCACCGCCTCCGTCACCCGGCGGTGTAAATGGGCACAGCCGCAGTTATTCGATCGGCAGGTCGCGTGTGGTGGGATGAAGTGTGGGATGAAGTGTGGTACGCCCACCTGTTACAAGACTTCTGACCGTTGCGGAAGATTAGGCCAAAGATTATCCAGAGGGGCTCCTCTCGAGCTCCCTGTAGTGGAGGCTCTTCTGCCAGCACTGGCGGTGACTAAGCAATTGCAGGGTTGCACCTTTAACTTTCTACTCAAGTCTATTGCCTTCGTTAGCTTACGTTCAATCTTTAGTTAATGTGTACCTATTACAGTGCCTAGCACTAGCATGGCCTGGGGGCTTGTGAGTCATGGAAACGAAAGCAGTTTTGTAAGTGTCACTGTGGGCAGCATTGAGAGAGAGAGTATCACTACATGTCGGAGAGAGTGTGCGTGGCGATCCATTCATAGATGCCCACTAAAATACCGGTGGTAATATTAGAGAAAAAAACAAGATTTACTTTCAAAGCCTCGACATCTCCCCCACAAAATCGTAATTACTCGCTATTTATACCCCGGGGGGTGAGGTGGGGGCTGGGATGAGATGTGTGGGGGGAGGGGGTGACGGGGCGTGGCTAACAGGTGTGGATGGTGTGGGGGGTGAGGTGGGGGCTGGGGATGAGATGTGTGGGGGGGAGGGGGTGACGGGGCGTGGCTAACAGGTGTGGGGGGTGTGGGGGGTGAGGTGGGGGCTGGGGATGAGATGTGTGGGGGGGAGGGGGTGACGGGGCGTGGCTAACAGGTCTGGGGGGTGTGGGGGTGAGGTGGGGGCTGGGGATGAGATGTGTGGGGGAGGAGGGGGTGACGGGGCGTGGCTAACAGGTGCAAACCAAGATGTTTAGGGGGGAGGGGGTCGCCCGCCCCAGGCCCCGCACTTTGGGGGCGTGGGGCACGCTTCGACGTCACGGTGTCAGATGTAATACTCGCGGTTTATTTTGAAGGCATCTTGGGGGGGGGGCTGCTGATGATGATGTTGCTGCTGCTGATGATGCTGCTGCTGCTGATGATGATGATGTTGCTGCTGCTGATGATGATGCTGCTGATGATGATGATGTTGCTGATGATGATGATGTTGCTGCTGCTGATGATGATGTTGCTGCTGATGATGATGTTGCTGCTGCTGATGATGCTGCTGCTGATGATAATGTTGCTGCTGATGATGATGCTGCTGCTGCTGATGATGATGATGCTGCTGCTGCTGCTGATGATGATGCTGCTGCTGCTGCTGCTGCTGCTGATATTGATGATGATGCTGCTGCTGCTGCTGATGATGATGCTGCTGCTGCTGATGATGCTGCTGATGCTGTTCACCTGAACTTGGGCTTGGCCGGCTGGGCGCGTCAGGGTCAGTCAGGATGATTGTGTGGAGGCCCAAGGGGTCACATCCCTCCCACTCCATAACAGTCGGCTTGTCCTTCACCTACAGTGACGGAAACGAGTATTTAACCCCTGCTGATGTTGTACGTTTGCCCACTGACAAAGAAATGATCAGTCTATAATTTTAATGGTAGGTTTATTTGAACAGTGAGAGACAGAATAACAACAAAAATCCAGGAAAAAATGTTATAAATTGATTTGCATTTTAATGAGGGAAATAAGTATTTGACCCCTCTGCAAAACATGACTTAGTACTTGGTGGCAAAACCCTTGTTGGCAATCACAGAGGTCAGACGTTTCTTGTAGTTGGCCACCAGGTTTGCACACATCTCAGGAGGGATTTTGTCCCACTCCTCTTTGCAGATCTTCTCAAAGTCATTAAGGTTTCGAGGCTGACGTTTGGCAACTCGAACCTTCAGCTCCCTCCACAGATTTCTATGGGATTAAGGTCTGGAGACTGGCTAGGCCACTCCAGGACCTTAATATGCGTCTTCTTGAGCCACTCCTTTGTTTCCTTGGCCGTGTGTTTTGGGTCATTGTCATGCTGGAATACCCATCCACGACTCATTTTCAATGCCCTGGCTGAGGGAGGAGGTTCTCACCCAGATTTGACGGTACATGGCTCCGTCCATCGTCCCTTTGATGCGATGGAGTTGTCCTGTCCCTTAGCAGAAAAACACCCCCAAAGCATAATGTTTCCACCTCCATGTTTGACGGTGGGGATGGTGTTCTTGGGGTCATAGGCAGCATTCCTCCTCCTCCAAACACGGCGAGTTGAGTTGATGCCAAAGAGCTCCATTTTGGTCTCATCTGACCACAACACTTTCACCCAGTTGTCCTCTGAATCATTCAGATGTTCATTGGCAACTTCAGACGGGCATGTATATGTGCTTTCTTGAGCAGGGGGACCTTGCGGGCGCTGCAGGATTTCAGTCCTTCTCGGCGTAGTGTGTTACCAACTGTTTTCTTGGTGACTATGGTCCCAGCTGCCTTAAGATCATTGACAAGATCCTCCCGTGTAGTTCTGGGCTGATTCCTCACTGTTCTCATGATCATTGCAACTCCACGAGGTGAGATCTTGTGTAGTGGCGGTACGCGCTGACAAGGGGGGCGCGTGTGTGAGCGCGCCGGGTGTGGCTATATCGCGTGGTATAGTGGTGACACGCGCTGACAGTGATGGATCACGTGGCAGCGCGTGGTGCGTGGTTGTGTGCGCTGACACAAGATGGGAAAAGGATCGTGGGGCAGCGCGTGGTGATTGGTCAACTGGGGTGGGTGCTCTCAGCGATGTCCTCATGGGCTCCGCCTCCCCGGGAGCGGAGGACTATAAAGGGGACGCGCGGGAGCACTCGAGGAGTTGTTAACCAGTGAAGATCGAAGATGGAGTTGGAGAGATAGGGCCCTGAGACCCCTAGTCCCGCTGTCCTTGTAAGGGCCGGGGCCCTGTGCGGCTCGGAGGCGAGACTGTGGGACCCGCGGTCTGACATCCATGTGGGGCGAGGCTGTGGGACCCAGGGGTCGAGACTCATACCCCAGCCGGGGTGGGTTCCCGAGAAGCTACGGGCGGAAGAGCCCGTGGGTGTGTAGCCGGGGGAACCGCGCAGCTTAGGCTACAGTTGGCCATACGTGTAAATAAGTTTGGTGTTAATAAAAGTGTGCTACTTGTTAAGTCGTCTCCCGCCAAGTTACTACATTACAACTGGCGTCAGAAGTAAACCTGTCTTCAAAAGGATGGATACTAGGAAGACTACCCGTACCCACGAGCGAGATCGGGAAGACGACTACGACGTACCGGAACTACAAGCCTCGGGAGGGGAGGACGAGGAGATGCCGACGTCGCAGCACCTCGCGGCGATACCCGACGCTCCGCTCGGGTCCGACACCGGCCTCCAGGATGCACACTCCCGCCTGGCGGAGTTGCTGCTCGCCGCCGCTTCTATTTTGGCGGAAATCACCGCTTCTGGAGGCGGGAGGACGACGACGAGGCTGGAGGAGGGAGCGCGGCCCGAAGGATCCCGCCAGAATGCGCTCCGCGCCTCAAATTTTGAAATTGGTGCCAATTTTGATGATCCACCATCGATTGGCGGGAAGCGTGGACACCACGTGGTCGGGGACCTCCACTCTACACAGCCCGCGTCATCAGCGCGCGCCAAAAGTCTCCACCATGCACCTGCCGAGGGAGCCGCCATTCTCGTCAACCACAGCGGCGCGCGGGAAAATCATCCATCGGAGGAGGACGACCAAGTCTTCCAACAAAGACTTCCCGCGCTGACGGCGTTCAAGGCTGAGGAGGGCGACTGGGGGGCCTTCCAGCGAAGGTTTCTCGCACATCAAGAAATGTCGGGGTGGTCCGACGCCACTGCCTTACGTGCGCTGCCGGCGACGCTGGACGACGACGCACTCGCGGCCTTCAGGTCCGCCCCAAGATCGTCCCGCTCCACACTCCAGGCCGCGCTACACCTCATGGCCACGGTGTTTGGACCGCCCTCGACCTGTCGCCACCAGTTTTACGAATGGCGTAAAGTGGACGGGGAAACTACGTTCGCCTACTGCACGTCGCTGCTCGCCCTGGTGGATGCCGCCTTTCCCCGCATGGACGAGGAGGGGAAGGACGCCATGGTGACAGAGCAGCTGCTGGCATTGGCCCACGACCTGGGGGTCCCCATCAATACGGCTGACGAAATGGACATCTGCTCCTTGGGGGTTGCTACAAGTATCCATGCACACGAGGTCCTCAAGCGAAAGCGGACGGTCGTCTGTGCATCGGCGGAGATCGCGACACCTGCCTCGATGGTCGCCGAGCCTCAGACTGTTCCGGCTTGGGAGGAGGCCTTCACCGTGGTGAGACCGGGGGAGTGGAGATCGGGAGGTCGTTCGCCCATGCGATCGTCCCGCAAGCTGGAGCAACCGAAACCTGCGATGTCTCTCGTCATGTGTTACAACTGCGGCCTTCGGGGTCACGTCGCGGCCGGGTGCCGGGCCCCGCGTCAGCGCGCCACGGGACCACGTCCGGACGACGACCAAGGGCCAAAGTCGTCCCAGCTACCCCCGGCAAGTCGCGGCACCACACACGCTCGGTCCACATACACGGCACACTCGGGTCGCCGCTTCGCGGTGGAGGGACCGCGCATTGGGGCCGGGGATTCGGTTCGGCGAGGGGGGTTCGTACACGGCCTGGGAGCAGTCAAATGGTCTGAGTTGGCCCACAGGATAGTGGCTGCGTCGGCCGGGTCGTCCGTGGTAACGGGATTTATTGACGGGTTGAGGTCCGGGTGCTGGTGGACACGGGTGTGTTGGCCACTATCATTTCGGACCTTATTTATAACATCCTCCCCGTCCAATGTCGACCCCTACTCCCGGTGGACGTACCATGTTACGCGGCGAACGGGGGCTCTTTGGGAATTGTCGGACAGATTCGGGCGACAATTTGTATTGGCGATATTAAATTGGCGGGTCCTATTTTGGTTTCATCGTCCCTGGCAGTTCCTTGTTTACTGGGTACGGACTTTCTGGCTAAAATGCCCATTAAAATTCTCGTCGATCAGGCCTGTATTGAGCTTCCATCGGGTATTGCATTTTTGGCAAGTCCTACCAAAATACGCACGGTTTGTGCAACGGTCCAGGCGCTGGCAACTCAGACTGTGCGAGTGCCCCCGGGATCGCAGATGCTGGTACCCCTTCGGTTGCGGAAACCCTTCGGGGTGGATGCGGCGGAACAGGGTGTTCTGTTGGGGCCGTCAAACAGAGCTGTTGGGGGCCTCGATTTAGCGGTAGCTCAGACCATGGTGCGGGCGGACAGGGATCCATTCGTTATGGTTCTGAATACGGGGTCGCGACCAGCTGTTATTACACAGGGCACTGTGCTTGCTCACGCAGCGCCGTTACCCGTGGATGAGCAGCTCGTTGCACATGTGGATTCTAACCTCGATCCGCACCCTCCATCAGAGGAGAATACAGAATGGTTGGACTCGTTGTGTGCTGGGTCTAGTAACCTGTCTAGTGTGCAGTTGGAAGCGTTGAGGGGCCTGCTACTCGAATTCGCTGATGTGTTTAGCAGACACAAGTACGATATTGGCTGTACGGACCTGTTGCGCCACCACATAGCGACGGGTGATGCGGCCCCAATTCGGCAGAATCCCTTCCGGCTGAGCCCAGCCGAGAAGGAGCATGTGCAGTCGGCTGTTAATGACATGCTGACTGCCGACATTATTTCGCCCTCTTCCAGTCCATGGGGTGCTCCCATCGTCCTTGTTAAAAAACAGGATGGGTCCTTGCGGTTTTGTGTGGACTTCCGCCGCCTAAATAAAATCTCGATGGCCGACGCGTATCCACTCCCCAGGATGGATGAGTCGCTAGATGCCTTGGCGGGGCACGGTTTTTTTCGACGCTTGACCTGCTTTCGGGATTTTGGCAATTGCCCCTCGATGAGGAATCGAAACCAAAGACCGCTTTTCGGACACCTGGAGGCCTATTTCAATTTAATCGATTGCCCATGGGGCTACATTCCGCTCCCGCCACGTTCCAGAGGCTCATGGAATTGGTTTTGTCAGGACTCCAATGGGACACCTGCTTGATTTACCTCGATGACATCATCGTTTTCAGCCGGACTTTCGAGGAGCACCTCCAACGATTGAGGGGGGTGTTCCTCAGGATGCGTTCCGCAAAATTAAAATTTAAACCAGCTAAATGTCACCTGCTTCGGGAATCGGTGAGGTACTTGGGGCATATCGTTGGCCGTTCAGGGATCTCTACAGATCCTGCTAAGACGCACTGCGTCAGCTCGTGGCCAACGCCAACCTCAGTCACTGAGGTCCGCAGCTTTATAGGGTTTGCCTCCTACTACCGCCGTTTTGTCGAAAATTTTGCCACCATAGCCAGGCCCCTACATGCTTTGACGGCTAAAGGGGTAAGGTTTTCCAAGTTACTACATTACACTTGCATGGAGCCCCAGGCCGAGGGAGATTGACAGTTCTTTTATGTTTATTTCATTTGCGAATAATCGCACCAACTGTTGTCACCTTTTCACCAAGCTGCTTGGCGATGGTCTTGTAGCCCATTCCAGCCTTGTGCAAGTCTACAATATTGTCCCTGACATCCTTGGAGAGCTCTTTGGTCTTGGCCATGGTGGAGAGTTTGGAATCTGATGATTGCTTCTGTGAACAGGTGTCTTTTATACAGCTAACAAGCTGAGATTAGGAGCACTCCATTTAAGGGTGTGCTCCTAATCTCAGCTCGTTACCTGTAAAAGACACCTGGGAGCCAGAAATCTTTCTGATTGAGAGGGGGTCAAATACTTATTTCCCTCATTAAATGCAAATCAATTTATAACATTTTTTCCTGGATTTTTGTTGTTATTCTGTCTCTCACTGTTCAAATAACCTACCTTTAATATTATAGACTGATCATTTCTTTGTCAGTGGGCAAACGTACAAATCAGCAGGGGATCAAATACGTTTTTCCCTCACTGTATGTTAACCACACTGTGTGTGAACACCTATGTTAACCAAATTGTCTCAACGTTGCATGTGTACTGGGTTTTAATAAAAATTTAGTTTCTTGATGAAGTAATTTCTGCCCCTTTGTATTTTTCAACGCTTTCACTTCACGTGATATTCCTCTATTTGTCGTGGTCAATATCTTGTAACAACATGTTTAGTCTACTTCCTGTTGTCCAATCCACGAGACTGTGTGCTCACTGTAACAACGTATGCCCGCACACCAATCAGGCGCCACGTGCCTCAGGCTCACCTGCTTCGTGTGCGTGCATCACTCGAAATAAAAAACACCTAATTGATAAAGTAATCAATAAAATTGGCGTCATCAATTAAGCGTCTCTTTAAAGCGTGGACGTCTTGTTAATTAATATCTATTTTCCCGCCGGGAATCGAGAACGCCGTGGCCCTGAGCTCTGGAATCGCGTCGCCCACGAAGCTTCTCAACACGTGGTGAGCGCTGAGCGCGTGTTGCGCAACTCAAACTTGTTGTTTTATTATTCAACTTCATTCGTCCCTCTCTCTCTGTGTGTGTGGCGCGCTCAAGGCTCGTGGTCGACACGTCGTTCACTTCCACGTTGTCCGCTCGACTTCTTTAAAAAAAGTTATAATTTTTTAAAATAAAAAATAAATTTGTATTAAAAAACATTTTTTAAATTTTTTAAGGAGTTTCTTTTAGTGGGTTTACCTATAGAATGCATGGGTCTCCTTGCATATCTAGATTATATTATTGGTTCAACAACAACGAGAACACCGCTGCCGGGTGACTACCTAACACGAGGTCTGACCCTGCGTAGTAAAGTGTTGTGTGTTGCTAAATGGTTATGCCTACAAAGTATGTTTAATGGATAGTATTATTCCACACAAACTTTGCGTTTGTGAGCAGGACTTTACGTGAAGGGATGACACACATGCACGCCACGTTTTTTTTTATTTAAAATCGTTAATCTTCTTGGTTCTTTCGGTAAAGTCACGTAGAAGGGAAGTAATAAAATAATAAAATAAAACATAATAAAATAAAATAATTCTCACGACGTTTCGGCTACAACGCAAGCAGCCGTCTTCAGGTGAAGAAACGTCGTGAGAATTATTTTATTTTATTATGTTTTTTTTTATTATTTTATTACTTCCC